GGATGACCTGCATAGCATTGATGCTTCTTCTGATGAAGATGATGAAGTGCAGAAGGGAATCAAATATGTTGACTTCAATGCTGAAAAGAACATGAGAAATCCACATTTCCAGGTTGGGATGCGATTTGCATCATCAGCTGAGTTTAAGGCCGCAATGCAGAATTATTCGATTGCTAATGGTAGACCTGTTTGGTATTACACTAATGAGGAACTAAGAGTAAGGGTAAGGTGCAAGGATCCATGTAACTGGGAGTGTTATGCTTCTCAAGAGAAAGCACTTGGGACGAATGATTTGGTGATTAAGACCCTTTATGATGTACATGAAAACTGCAGTCATGCCTGGAAAAATAAAATGATGACTGCTAAATGGGTTGCTGAGAGATATGAGAACAGAATTAGGGCCAATATGAACATTCCAATCCATTCTTTAAGGCAGACAGTGCATGAGGAGTACAAGATACAAATATCGAAAACAATAGCCAGAAATGCTAGAGGTATAGCTGTTGACAGAATCAAAGGTTGTGCAGTCGAGCAGTATAAGCATATATGGGAATATTGTGAGGAGATTAAGAAGACTCATACTAATTCTACCATGGTAGTCGAGTTCACTCCATTTAGAGATCCAGGTTCGAATCCTAGGTTCATGAGACTGTACTGTTGTTTAGGTGCACTAAAAGAAGGATTCAAAATGTGTAGACCTGTGATTGGACTTGATGGCTGCCATATAAAAGGGCCTTACCCTGGTCAACTGTTATCAGCAGTGGCAGTTGATCCCAACAATGGTTGGTGGCCTATTGCTTGGGCCATAGTGGAGAAGGAAGCTACAATACAGTGGAAATGGTTCTTACAACTTCTCCAAGCGGATCTGGAAATAGATAATCAGTGTCACTACACTTTCATCTCTGATCAACAAAAGGTATGGATCTTATTATCCAACATTTGATGTGAGCCTTGTGGCTGTTTGAACCAATAATTCATTTATTTTTTATGCAGGGATTGGACAGAGCATTATCCGAGGTGCTACCCAACTCTGAGCATAGATACTGTGTGCAGCACATGTATCAAAATTTCAAGAAGAAACATCCTGGAAAGGCACTTAAAGGGATGCTGTGGGCTATAGCTAGGAGCAGTACAATTGAGATGTACAAGAAAGCTGCTGAGGACTTGAAAGAGTATGACAATGAAGCATACAAGTGGGTGGAGAAGGCTCCTCATCCGATGCATTGGTGTAAGGCTTACTTTTCTCCTCACACTAAATGTGACATGATTGTCAATAATCTATGCGAATCTTTCAATTCACATATACTAGAGGCCAGGGATAAACCAATTATATCTTGCTTGGAGAATATTAGAGAACTGATGATGGAAAGAATTCAAAAAAGAAAGGCTGCCATGACTAGATATCCACACTCAACCGGTCCTTTGATTAGAAAAATTATTGAGGACAGAATTGAAGAGTCTTTCCAGTGGTTCCCACAGTTCAATGGGATTGATGGTTATTAGGTAAAGGGCCCAAGGAATTCCCAGTTTGCTGTGAATTTGAGAAAGAAGAGTTGCACTTGTCGAATCTGGGAATTATCTGGTTTACCTTGTACCCATGCCATTGCAGCAATTAAGCAAACTGAGGATGATCCACATGAAATGATTGTGGAATGTTACTACAAGAGCTTATTTTTACAGATTTATAATAATGTCTTGCAACCCATCAGCAGCCAAGTACTGTGGCCTGAGTCCAGCATGCTTCAACTTGATCCTCCAATTCCCACTGTCCAGCCTGGGAGGCCAAAAAAGGCAAGGAGAAGAGATGAGACAGAAGGGAAGAACCATGGAAGAAAACTTAGAAAAAATGTCACCATGCATTGCAGAAAATGTGGTAAAACAGGGCACAATGCTGCAACATGCAAAGAGGTGACTGAGCACCAACAATCTGGCCAGCCAAAGAAGAAAAAACATGTGAGTATACATACAGTTCAATGTATTTCAAATGTCATATAGTATACATAAATATAGTCTCTAATCAACTTCCATTTGTACAAGGTTTCAAGAAGAAAACAGCAAGCAAAAGTAGTTCAGTCACAAGGTATAGAGACCCAAGGGCAATAGCAACAGGAAACTCCATCAGCTAGCCAACCAAGCCAACCAATCGCATCTGCAACTCAGCAATCAGATCTAATGTCCCAACACCCAACTCCACCACTTCAACAGCCAATACCAGTAGTTCAGCAACCAGATCCAGCAGCTACAAGTTCTAGATCTGGCAGGAAATTCAACAGAAATGGTAAACGGCCCTTGACTGATGCTGACAAAGGGATGATTAATGCTAACTATGCCTACTTGGGAAAGGAACCACCCTTCAAGGTTGGTAGGTGGAGGGGTAGAAGATGTGCAAATGCTGGTAGATCTAGATCTAGATCTACAAGAGGCAGAGGTGCAGGTGCAAGTTAGATGGAATTGGATACAGTTGTAGATGTGATCTGAGATGTTGATGATGGTGACTGATATGTACATAAGTCTTTTGACTTATAATAGTTTATTTAAGTTCAGTGGGCTGTTAAAATAGATGCATTAAAGTTTAACTGCAGGATCCACTTCATGTTGATAGTGGATGGCTTTTGTTTTGTTATGGTGGATGCCTTTTATTTTTCATCCACTATCTTTTTGCATATTCAACAGAAAGCTGTGTACTTCTGCAAATTGGAAACTTTTGTAGTTAGTTTTATCCAATGGAAATACTCCTTTTGTCTTAATTTACTGTGTTATAATGCCGCATTCATAAGAAACTACAATTACAGCAATTCATAAGAAACGACAAAAAACTTGCATCCATTCATTCAGTAAAAAGTAACACAATTACAGCAAGGATTCCATTACATAAGAAAACAAACCAATGAAAAATTCACTATAAAATACAACATGGGAATCTTTGGTCTGCTATTGCTACGGACACTACCACCAAAAGCTGTATCCACTCAACCTTGCTACTTCCATTTCTTCACAATCACCAAACAACATTAACTATCCCTTGATGGCCAACATATGGTCACTCTTAATAACAGTCTTCAGATAGCAGCAAAAACAATACAACAATATAAAAGCCCATGTACCGAGAAGAGCTCTTTTGAGATAGTGCTCTCTGGTCTTGTGCTTTTTCACTTCACCCTCCAATTTTGCAACTTTAAGTTCCAATTTTTGAGCTTTATTTTCCCATCTTCTTGCTGAAGTTTCTAATTCCTCCATATTACTTTCCATTCTATTCATTCTTCGCAGCAAACCAGGAATCACTTGAGTTGATCTTTCGCACATTGTTGGATCATACCATTCCCAAAAACCACATCCCTCATCCTGCAATTTACATTTTCCAAGACTAAATCCTCTTGTTATAATATTTCCATTACAAATCTAACATCTTACCTCTCTAAGATCTTACCTCTCCTAAAGTGCAGACCACAAATCTTCTTGCTGGGTTCCAATTTGTCCATGAGGTCTTCACCATTGCTGTTAATCCGCAGGAGCATCTAGGTATGGGTTTAGGAGAGCGTCTCGACATTCTTGGCTTCTTCGATTTCTGACACAGAATTTAGGGCTAGAAATTGAGTCCCTATTTTTTCCTCCACAAGACCAGACACTTCAGTTTGTTTAGTTGGCTTGTTTCTACCGCTCTTTTTTTTCTTTTCAGTTGATGTATTAATGTAAGTGAACGGTCAGTGGATTGACGGACAAAATTGCCCCTGTGGTTTGCCACGTGTAATGCTAATTTCAGAAATTAAGAGCTATTATCGACGAAATGGTCACGGGTGGCCTGATTAAGTTGTTTAGTGGACAATTATTGACAAAAAATAGTTCGATGGCCAAAACATGATCTTGGGAAAAGTTTAATGGCCGCCCAGGTTTTTTGCCCTTAAATAAATCAATAAATATAATAAAAGTTACTTTGGTGATTCCATTCATTAAAATTTATCAATTATTTAACTGAGACAAAAATTTTATGTCCATAAACTCTTCTCCATATCATTCATATATAGAAGAGCAAAACAGATAAATGGCACTTTTGTTCATAAAATTCTTAGAAGGATTCATATAGAATATGACAGTGTTTAGCATAAAAAGAGATCCAAAACCTTAAAGTTGACCCTCAATGCATATATTATCCAATTAAATAATCGCGTTGAGACGGGGCTAATTAAAGCATCCATATTTATCCATAATTCTTAATCTTAACTATAAATGAAAATTGTGCTAAAATAATCACGAAATTGACATGTAAAGAGCTAAACCAGAATACCCATGTCAATCTTATGATTTTAACTATGGTCGAATAAAAGAGAATTAAATAGACGCAAAATGATTGAGGATGCAGCCAAACTATTGGAAAACATTGAGCCACAACATGCAATAGCTCACAGAACAAGTTCCCCATAACCACTTAGATTTCTTATGCAAAAAAAGAAAAATTTCCATCCAAGTTGTTTGCATGGGAAACAACTGCTAGACTGCATCATACTTTGTAACCATAATTTTTTTCCCATTCAATAATCTTATTGACGGAATGTTCAAACCCAAAATGTTTTCTTGCTAATTTTAATCCATAAGAATAGGAAACAAAGGAAACCCTATGGACTCTTCGTGTTTATTAGAATGAATAGCAACCCAAGCCCAAATACAGCGGCATATTTCTTTTCCCCACTAGATTTGTTTAGAAATAGCCTGATTGATACTCTTTTGTGTAACCACACAAACTCCAAATTGATACATGGGACCACAAACAATGACGGAGCCAAGGGGGGCAGAGGGGGGCCATGGCCCCCCCTAAGTTTTGAGAATTTTAATTCATAATATGTAAATATGTGTGTAAAATAAAATTGGCCCCCCCTAAATTTTTTCAATTTTAGTTTATATTATGAGAGTTGATATATATATATATATATGAATTAGTCATCTTTGAATGGAATTTCAATTTTGGCCCCCCAAAAAAAAAAATCCTGGCCGTCACTGACCACAAACCAATAATTCGAAAGAAACCAACAAATACCTTATCGCATGGATTATTGATTTTTTCTTGGATGCTGATTCTCTTGGTTTTCAATTCTCAGTGGCAATTTGATGGTTTTTTTGACCATTCCATTCCAGGTCTGCCCAATATGTGCAGCAACTAAGAAAAGATGCAATTGGGCATTTCATAAATGCAGCATGCTCAATCTTTGAAGGTATATCTAGAATTGCAATTGAACTTAATGTGATATTTGCGCAGATAATTCTAACAAAGACGCATCAGGAATTCTGGAGTGTTGCCTCAGCAACAGTAGCAAGCACTGCTGGAATTACCACCATTTCTTGGTGCAGATTCATGAAACCTGCTCCATAGCCACTTGATCAACAGTTCTTTGTTCAAAACCTTTTTCAGATCCTAAAGACCACACAAAAGATGCATCTTCTGGTTATGCTATCTCAACTGCTAAGGAGATAGGTAAGTCTGGCCTACTACAATATGGATGTATGAACTTTTTTTTTTGGATTTCATGCCATATGAAGAGATCTAAATCTCATACTACTTAGTTGGCTAATTTTCAAGTGAATGAGCCACATGAGATGAGATCTAAACAACATAGCATCTGCTGTTTGGAATTTGCTGGTTTGCTCTATTCTTACAGAATATTAGTAATCGGTTGACAAATGCAACTTGCTTGGAGAAAACTAATAACCAGGTGGTGGTTTCATATTGCTGACTTATTCTGCATAATATAGATCATATATCCCTGAATCTTTGGATATCATGAGGCTTAAAATGCTAAGCAAACTGAGACCTTACTAAGTTTACAAATAATGTTCTGTAACAAGACATGGAGGGCAAAACGAAGAAGTTAGCACCTATATAGGACTAGGCGTGGAAAAGTCAGAATTTCAGTTTGCAGTTAATAGCTTGTCTGAGCAGATTATGGCTAGCAGAAACATACATTGAACGCTATACTGTCAATTTCGAGTAGATATGATCGTCAATTAGCCGAAGAGATAAAGGCCATGACTGCATGGTCACGCGATGATCTCCATGTATGCTATGTATGCTTTGGCTTGACCTAAATTAGTGCCAAAATTTTCTATTCCATTTATATCGATAGCAAATGTATATGTTTTGAGAAACACGAAAGGTTGTTCTAAATATGAAGTTTTAGATTGGAAAACAATGCTTCGACACATTTAGTCGAAATTATATGGTTAATAAAAGTGTTAAGGAAACATAAGGGATGAGAGCACGTATGGGAAGTGGAATTGATGAAGTCAATATTTTCAATTTAGTGAAGCTTTCCTCAGGTTGAAACTTAAGAACATGGAAGCAATCAGCCTTAGCATAAAAAAATTGCTGGTGTGCTCAAGTAATGGAACATAATCTCATCATATGTACATGTCAGTATTTTGCTCAGAATGCAATTCTATAAGTTGCAACTCTTCTGCCTTTTATTTTTTGGTAATTAATCTATTTGGTTAGTCATTTTGATAGAATGGGGTCGTATTATCTTTTGATTGATGATAAATCACACAGTTGAATTTATAGTTTTCAAGCATGATACTCTGGATGTTTAATATAATAGGATCTAAGAACATGAGATGCTCTCTAGTTCTACTAGCTTGTTTAAAAATTTTCTGCTTGGAGAAGGAGAAAATGGAGACAATAGTTGATGAGCATTTAATTTTAACAGCTTGCCAAAACAGCAAAAAGAGTAAATATCATACAACAGGATCTTATTTTGGTATGAGAAGATCTCGGCATAAATCTATTCCTAGACTTCTTGATTTTTAAGCCAAATTGCAGTTAATTACTAACAGATGAAGCTGAAGAGGCTATTTGAACTGCGAGAAGTTTACTAACTTTGGGATAAATCTAATCAAATTAACTTGTCATTAATTTGAAGCCCACAGTACACTTAAGGAATGTCTATAAGAAGATCAATTGTGAGTCAACACACATGGCTGGAGAGTTTTTTTGCATGGCAAAGAAGAGTTCTAAGTAGTACTAGTTGAACGCTCTTCATCTTGTACGCTACAACTTCGTTTTTTCATTAAATTTGTTCTTCTTCTGTTCCTTATATAATTGGGATATGGTGGAGTCGGTGCTTTAATTTCGATTCTAGAAGTCCTGAGATATTCTGCAGATTGAAGCCGTATCATTTTACTATTAATGCTTGATTTTCTTGTCTGATTTTAACTGAATCTTATGAATACCTCGTCTTACTGATCACCCTGTCTCACCCCTGCACCCCAATCCCTCCACGGCAACCCAAAATAGGAAAAAGAATCCAAGTAAAAATGGTCAGCTAAAGCTGGAACATATGGAAACGGTAGAAGGCACTTGTTGTCAATGAAACTTTACTAACCAGCAACACTATGAGAAAGAAAGTCACTGGAACATTTAAATATGACAGAGTGAACTGGAATGAAGGACAGCTAATGATGCTTATCAAATTGAAGCCAGTGGTGGTGGTGGTGGTGGTGATTCTGATGGGCGGAGGAGAAGGACAGGTGGTGGTGGTGGATGGTGAGGGCTGCGGATGGTGGTGGTTGTGATGATGATGGTGGAGAATATACAGGAAGTGGTATGGTTGACATCTTTCCGATTTAGGGAAGTGTTAGTGAGATTGAAACTTATGAACGCATGAGGAACCATCCTGAGCATGCTTTGCCATTCCAGAAAATATTCCTCTCAAAAAAATTTTTTGTGGGTCTGCCCAGTTACAGGTTCACAATCCCTTCACGCGTATAAGTCAGTACGCTGCTCAGATTTCATTTCTACAGGGTGCAAATCTTCTGCATAACCTCTTGTATGCTGTAACTTATTGTTTTCATTAAACTTACGTAATGGGGATAAGGCGGAGCAGCTACTGAATTCCAACACTAAAAGCCATACGATATTCCTCTGATTGTAGTGGATCCATTTTGTTAATAATGCTCGAGTTTCTTGTCTGACTTCCAGTGGATATTACAGAATGCGTCCACCACAGATTGAGGGGAAGTTTACTGCTCATCTCAATTGATTAGATGAAAGGAATTATATGCAGGTGGAAGATAGAGATGGGAAAGTTGTAAACTGGTTGGTGTGCTGTATTGATACTTGATAGTACGTTGTACAGAAAGATCGAGGAAGGAATTGAGGGGAAGCAGTAGGTTTGTATTTGCAAATCCACAGGTGACAAAATCATACGGTATTTGTCCGTTGTTGATTAGGATAATGGAGATGGAAAAAAAAGGGGATAATTTCATAAACCTCCCCTAAGGTTTCTAATAATTCCACTTGGTTCTTCTAAGGTTTTAAAAATTACACCTACCTCCCTTATCCATTTAAAATGACAATACTAATTTTAATATTTTTAATAAAACTCTTTTGTTGCCATGTTTATGCAAAGGATTTTATAATTTTTTTTACCTTTTCCCTTCTTATTCATTTTTTCTTATATTTCATTAGAAGTATAGAAGAACTATCAATGTTGTCCCAAATATCTATCCAAATTAAACGTTAAACTAGTAATATTTTTTTTTATAACTTTAATATCCTCCAATTTTTTTGTAGCTCTTTTATTTAGTATCAAAATCAAGGATAAATCAACAATGTTAAAACCAAATGACCCAAAATCACTACCAAATTATGATAGTTCTACTACTAAACTAGTCCATAAATTTTTATTAAAAAAATACTCCATGAACTTTAAAAGAAACAAAATAGCACTTTCTTCTCTATCATAAAAAGAATTTATATTCCCAATAAAGCAATATGAAAAATATCATATTACAACAAAAGATTTATTGTTATAATTGATTATCTAATAACAAATATTGACATGAAAAACTTGACGCTCTTTTTGTTTAGAAGAACAAATTGAAATTTGTAAGATAAGGGCATTTCAGGGTATTCATTAAATTTTGACTCTATTTTAAAGTTTGGTTACCAAAGTGTTAAATTAAGGGGGGCAATTGCAATTTTTAAAATGTCAAGGGAACTAAGTGGAATAGTAAGAAACCTCAAGGGAGGTTTCTAAAATTATCCCAAAAAAAATGGTTAAAGTAGAACACCACCCTATTAAATATATATATATATATATATATATATATATATATATATGTAGAAGCGACAAGGAAAAAATAAAAAGCGACAAATTATGTACTTGAATGGAACGGTGCATAAACAGATTATTGAAGCTTGTAAAGAAATACGCCAACAAATGCTAACAAAATACACTAAAAAATAAGTAAGAGACAAACTCCATTAGTTTTTCTTTACAAATCTTCCAAAATTTCACTAGCTAGTACTTTTTTTCCCCTTCTTCAATTGAATCCGTTTCAATTTTCTTGTCTGGTTTAAATGCTTTTGAGCCTACTTCACATAGACGACGAGTTGCATAGAACAACTTTCATCGGTTTCAACCTGCAGTTGCATAGATTTCTACTAAGTCATGGTTGTAGTCAGTCAGAGTCCTCTAGTCACAGTTAATTAGTGGTTCTAAACAAGGAAATGAAGGAAATAGAAAGTACTAATTACGTTCATTGTTTATTAAATTTCTTAAGGTACAAGAAAATTTATTTATTCTCTTAATATACCCCGGAAACTTTTTTTAATCTTTTGTAATTTAATATTTACAGTTAGTATCTATGATAAACTTAGACTCAACTCGGCATACGAATTATTTGTGAAGCCTCTAGTCCATGATTAAATAAAAGTTTTGCTGAACATTTATTTACATATGTATTTTCTTTTCGTCTTTTTAATTTTCATTTGCTTACTTTTTTTTTTAACAAACGATAACAATTTATAGATATTAACACGTGACCTTACAAGGATAAGTTACAAAAAGGGGATACTGCCCTCATATCCTTCTTAACTAAGTCAGTCAGCCATATTGGGAAATCATGCTTCCAGTCAATATTATGTACTAGCTTTACTGCATATTGTGCTAGTGCATGGCTGATTTGATTTTCAGTTCTAGCGATAAACACAAAAGAACATCTTTCAAAGCCTAAACTAAGTTCTTGTACGTCTTCTAAGATAGTTGCAGTACTGTAGTCATACTCACTGCCTTTATTGATCTGCTCAACCACTGATTTGCAGTCTGTATGGACTATAATTTTTGTCCATCCTGCTTGTTTGGCCATCAGTAGAGCACTTCTTACGGCAAGAGCTTCTTCTTTGCTTGCTGTCCCCTTCCCCTGTGTGACAATTCTTTTAGCTTTCATTATCTGTCCTTTCCAATTCCTTGCTATTATCCCTTGTCCTGTCCTAACTCTTTTTGCTGATATAGCCGCATCTGTATACAATCTTATCTCTTCCTTCCTTGGCCGCTCCCTACTGGTGGGTATGTCTTTGTTCATCCTCCCTACGCTCACCTTCTGTTCTGGCTCCCTTTCCTGTTCAAACTCTAGCCACTCATCTTGTGCCTTCCGTACCATTTTGAATGGATCCTGGTTTGCCTGTTCAAAGATTTTTTTGTTCGTGGCTTTCCAAATTTGCCAGAGGATATTAATGGTAAGACTTACTCTATCCTGACCTTGATTCATGGAAAGCGTTTGGGTAACTTTCTCCCACCAAATCAAAAAATTCTGTTGTTTTTCATGTAACCCATCCCATCTTACCGGTGCCAACTTCCATACTTCCACTGCATTTTCACAGAAGAAGAACAAATGCTCAATGGTTTCCATGTCTTCTCCACAGCAGCCACATCTTCCTTCTTCTCTTCCTAGCCTTTTTGACAGCAATTCGTTGACAGGTAGATAGTTTTGCAAGCATTTCCACATGAACTGTTTTAGTTTTGCCTTCACCTTCATGTGCCATAACTTCTTCCACACTGTGTTTTCGTATCTCCCAACTTGTCTCTGTATCATGACCTCTCTTACTACCTGGTTTGACTTCCTGTTGTCTTGCTACCGCATAACCCATCTTTACAGTGTTTATTCCTGATTTGGAATGGCTCCATACCAGCTTATCCTTTCTTCTTCCTATGCTTGTCGGGATGGCTTTGATGAGCTCAGCATCTTTTGTACTAAACCACTTGTGGATAAGTTCAGTTTTCCACTTCCCTTCTTCTATCAGCTCGTTTACCCATTCCAACTTGCATTCCACAGGTTTTGTGTCTGATACAAAGCCATTTTCTGAACCAGCTATCCATCTGTCACCCCATATACTCACAGACCTGCCGTCCCCAATTCTTTTCCAAAGTCCAGCTAACAGCAGTGATGTTGCACTATGGATGCTCTTCCAACACCATGAAGCTGAGGTGGAGGGATTTTTTTCCATCCAGTTTGCGTCCTTCATGTACTTTGCCTTCATTACCTTGCTTACTAGCAAATTTGGAGCTGTTAAGAATCTCCAAATTTGCTTAGCCAGCAAGGCTGAGTTGAAAGCCTCTAAATCTCTAAAACCTATTCCCCCTCTTCCCTTCACAATTGTCATTTGGGATCATTGCTGGTGAGTCTGACACTTTTCTCGCCTTTTGTTTCTTTCCCCTTTTGCAACTTTCCACATCTTAAACATGACTTTCAGTCTTTCACAGCGTCACTTTAGCCATACGCTAAATTGAAATTGCAAAGTTTAAGATTTTGAAAGTCACAAATACGTATTTAAGTCTTAATTATAAGTTATTGGTCGGGGCAAAAATTCCAAGAACTAAGGCGAATTGGAACTTGGTTACGGAAATATGTTTACCTTCTTCATGTTCAGTGATTGATGTTTTCTTTATGCTGTCAACGGCGTTTGTTTGATGTATATAAGTCCACAAATGTTCATGATATCAATGAAAGGTTAAAATTTTGCTTCAAAAAAAAAAATTCCATCCTTAGCTACTGTCCACAACCTGAACCAAGTTACCATTGCCAATTCTGCACATTGTACTCTTGGAGGGGCTTATTTGAGTTTACCAAATAAGGGTGGACGGGAAATGGCAATGGTCTTCAAGAAAAGTAGTCAATGCAATTGCTAGTTAAAAAAATTTTTTTTTTGTAGTACAGGTTATAAAATTAACAATAGTCAACGACCAGCTTTCCCAAAAAAAAAAAAGACACACGATCACTCAGTTGAACATTAATATTTGGCAATGCTAGCTCCTTTTTTCCAAATAATATTTCACTTGTATCATAAACACATTTCTCAATCCACCTTTTTATATTTCCAATCATCTTTTTATCTCACATACATCATATCACAAAAAGTGTTATAGTAATTATTCTAAATAATATTTTAAATAACACTCTATCCAAACAGAATATTTGGCCCAACCATTCTACAATTGGCAATGACAAAGGCTACTATTTTAATGGCCAGAAACATTAATATTTGGCAATTCAATTTGGCCCTGGCATTCTACGATTGACAGTGACAAATGTACTCGTTCATGACTGCATAAAGAAAACTCAAGCACTGAATATGAAGAAGGCAAACTCTAGCATGAACTTTATGCCTCTTTTGGAGCAAAAGAGTTAAAAAGGAACAGACAAACACACGCAGAGGCACTGGATTTGGAATGTGAGGAAAGAAGAAGTCCATGAAAAGATAAATACGATGTTCTGATGAAGCAAGTGAGATGGATTTGGTGAATTTTTACGGTAGATGTATATAGTATGGAGGATGAAGTTTACATATATTGTTACAAGGAGAACCTCAAAATTTTGGAAATTAGGCCAGTTTCTAATCTTTGAGGTGATAGAAAACCCAAAAAGAAACTAGGGTTTTAGCGTAAAATAAGGTGAGTTACTAATTCTGGATAGTAGACTACAATAAAGAAAAGCCAAAAAAAAGGTATCGGCAAATATTTTTTTTTTTTTTAAATTTGTTGTACGCAAAAGAATGTAGTAAACAATGTACACAATTACTTATATTGCATTCATGAACTTGCCAGGTTGTAAGTTCCACAAATGAAATCTTGTCATTGACTCATTGGGCAAGGATGTTACGTTATTAAATAGTCTTAAGGAGATAATACATTTAGTTCGCCACTATAATTATAAAAGAGACTAATGTTTACAAGTTTAGTACCAAAAACTGAAATTGTCAGTCCACTAGATTTAGGTTTCCTCCCACAATGGGAAATGTCGGTTCTTGCCCTATTCTTCGCTGCAAGTCAAGTTGTTCGGTTGCTAGTGCTACTTAGTAAAACTATTTTCAGATGTCAAGGATAAAATTTAGACACATTTGCTAA